AGTGGGTGGGTTAGAGCTGCTCAGTTTCCTCAGAAGGCTCAAAGCCCCCCTGTTAGATTTTTTGAAATCCATTCTACCTGTCGTTTCTTTCCATTTTTACAGCGTTCTATATCAAGACGATTAAGGAGCTCGTCCGCTGTCTCAGAGTCTCCGTTGTTCTGAAATTCCTGATAGAGTTGTTCCATCTCGTCGCTCCATCCTGGGACATATTCCCTTCGAAATCCACTCCGAAATCAAAAATGACAGTATTGTACACACGAGGAATTAAGAGACCTAAAGGAAGACCGAACGTGAGATGAGATCGTCATATTTTTTTGTTTTTTTTTTATTTTCTCTAAAACGGCATCAAAATTTGGAAAAGGGGTATTACAGGGGATTAGCCATTTTAGAACAAGCAAAATTTTTTATGAAAAATGCATTTTTCATAAAAATTCTCAAATTGACGATAATAAAAAAGTTTTTCCTCTTGTAAAGACAATCCGGGGACATACTACACTATGTGGTTAGATTTCCAAAAATGGATCTGTCACAAAATTTCTATTGAAAAATTACATTCTTCAAAAGTATTAACCTACACAAATTATGACAATATGATTGAATTTTAAATACAAAACTAGATAACCCACCCAGGTAAAAATTATAAAGCATTCTATTTAAAAAAACTACAATTTTAGTAAAAAATGCTGAATTGTTTTTAGCCTCAGAGACGGATTGATACGGAAATATACATTATGACATTTCAGTCGTTTTGTAATTTTAATAGTTATTTATATTTATGCATTTGTTATTTATTTAATAAATAAGCTAGAGTGTTTTCCTATGTTTAAAAGGTCCCGCATATGATATTCTAACTATAAGTATTATAATAAAATATTATTTTTAGTAATTTAAAGACCCTATGTTAAGTAAAAGTACCTACTAAAAATACTAATAAACAATTACCAATTAAAATATAGGTATCGAAAATATCATTATCGAGGGAGTGTTTCTAGGCCAAATTAAAGGAATTAGACCTAACTAAACAAAATCGTATCTCTTTTGCATTATTATCATTTATTGTTTAGACGTCGTTCGTCTGAAATTTACTACTTCATACTCTACACTTGCTTATTGTTATGTAAATGCCAATGTCACGTTAGTTATTGGTAATAAAGAAGTTAATATCAATTGCTTCGCATAACCTAAGTGACTTCAGTTGATTTATGGAGGTAAAATGGAAAAAGACAACGGATTTTAATTCTTTTTTTAATACTCAACATCTTAGAAACATGTAAATGTTTTATTTAATTGCTTTTTGTATCAATAACCTAGTAATGATGTTACATTTCAGACTTAAAGTATGAAATCGGAATTTCTGATTGGTTGGGTTTTGTTTGAGGAGGTAAATTTGCTAAGGCCACTTAATATTTCCAAAACAATCGAATAGAGGTATAGTCTATAGACTGTGTATGTACATACAGAGAAGACCAGGCTACTAGTAACGTAGCAAGTTGCCGGACGAATTTACGTTTATTTGCGTTCGTACTCGAGATTCACTGCCGCCTAGTCGGCTGGTCAGACAGTACGCAGTTGCAGTTGTGCTTGGACTATTTATTATTTTCATTTTAAGTGTTTACCTTCACTTAAAATAAAAATACTTAAATATTTATTATTTGAGTGTGTTTACAAGCCAAAACTAAAAATAAATAAATTCTCTAAACCCCAAAAAACTAAAATATTACTCTAAATAAAAAAAAGTTATTATTACAAGTGTTCAAAAAGACCACCTTCTTGTGCTAGACAGAAGCCTAGGCGGTCGTAAAATCCCCGTCTGATATTGGCTAACATATTAGAACCAATCATATGCTCCCCTACAAAACCAACCCAAACATTTAGCTTTTGAGGATATTGCGTGCGTACCTCAAAATATCTGTGCAAATTTTCCCGATACCAATATCCTACTTGTGTAGGGTTATGACGACTCAATAAAGGAAAACTTGATTCGCCGGTGAAAACTATACGCCGAATAAAGTTTTCATCTAAATTGGCCTTTTCCATTACAGATTCACAAAACGCCATACGCCGAAATTGGTCTTCATGGAAAATTACGTTTATTTTATTTGGAGTTTTGTGCGCCTTATACGATCGGTATCTAGGTAAAGGATCTGTTAGCTCAGCAATTCCTCCGCAGAAACCTTCAGATTACTTGATAACGTGGGATTTTGATCTGCGGTAGCACAAATGAACACTTGCTTTAACTCCTGTTCTTCATTAATCAACACATCAGGCTTTATGTGTTTTAGTGGGGACACGCCCTCCTTGTGTTTCAAAATTATTAATAACTCTTGAGATAGTAGGTAAAGATGGAATTGGCCTGTTTACAAAAGTTTGTGGAAAATTTTTTTGTATATCCCGATAAGACCTATTTTGGAAATACCATTTTACAATTTGAATTTTCTCACGAACTTCGTTATACAAATCTTCTAGGTGTCTCTGTGAATGTTTTTTTTTTGGACCAGCCTCCATTTTATTTATTATCGCATTTATTCCATTTGGCTGATACACACTGTGTTCTTGCTATTCTTCTTTATGATCGCCTTCGTTGAAATACAAAAGTCATCATACGTGAAGTTGCGTTTCCAAGATGTGACATTTAAAATTTATGGCCATGATAAAACTCGACAAGCATGCGTGCAAATTTTTAACAAAAAAAAGAGCAAATAATCAATGCGATGTAGATTTTTCACGCTTAAAAATTTGCCTCAGTTACGATCAAAATAAAAACAATATTACGCTCCACACTGGCTACCATCTCTTTAATCCAAATGAGTCGTACTAAAATGGTGAATTTATATAGTCACGTTTCAGTGTTATTACCTATAAGTTGGGAGTTTAACTGTACTGGTACATAAAATGCGTAAAATTAAAGGTTGCCGGTACTGTTAGTTTTGGTCGAAGAAAATGTGCAGGGCACGACCAACTCTCAGTCGTGTAATTGTTACTAATTAGTAACTAATGGAATACAGAATGGTGTTTATGGTCTTTTTTACATGCCACTAAAACTATACTGTGCGTCGAAGACATTGTAGTTTCGTCGATCCTTGATTACTCCGATGTTTCTCATAATATGGGGTTACCGAAGTTAAACGCCGTAGAGAATGTTTATCATGGGCAGTTTTAAACGTCGACGATTGACGCAAAAGAAAAATTGGCATCGGTTGCCAGAAACGAAATCATGAATAACCTTAGAAATTTAATTGCCTCTAATTCCTTAAATAATGATGAATTAAAATTTTTTAGCTAATCTTTCTAAGTTGGAAAAAAATTGGAATTATTACAGAAAGTTTAGAAAATCCCATTAGTCCTGTACATAAGGACACGAAAAGAACCAAATCTCGGTGAAAATTCGTCGACCTTTAATTTTAGAGCAAACAATAATTATTGTAACATCGTGCTTGGCTAAAAAATGGTTCCAAATGGCCCAAAAATCAGTTTCGCAAATATCTGCCAAAATATGTATTTTACAAATTTTTTCTTGGAATCTACAAAATATGCTCTGGCACTTTTTTTCGTAAAGCCCAAAAAAAACGGTTAAACGGTCGGTTTTCCACCAAATGGAAGGTTGGGTCCTTAACTAAAAAAACGGTCCTGACACGTTTTTCGTAAGTCGTTCACAAAAAGAAACCAATTCGATTGTTCGTAATTATGCAATTTTCTTTTGTTTACGGCACGTTCCAGAAATCCCGAAAAAGTCACTTACGAATAGCTATTATTAGTGCAAATATGAATAAGTTTGTAAAAATCTGAAATTTTTTGGCTAGGTTAGTCAAGGAATGTTTGCTCGGTTTTATTATCATAAAAAAGTTTCATTATCATAAAATATGACAAAATTCAAACAAGTTCCAAAATGTGATAGTTGTTGATTCTTCCATTTAAATGAACTTTGAATCATCAAAAATATAATTAATTTTAGCCAAGTTATTAAATAATTTGTCCTATCAATCAATAATACGCTTATGACATCTATCTTCGAAAAAAAACTTGAAAAGAAAATTCATGGATCTTTGAGGTGGAATATCTCAAAAACCTAATTCTACCTACAAAAATGATAGGGACCATTTTTGTAGGTAATTACCTAAGCTTCATTTTTGTTGCAAGAAAAATTTTGTAAATTGCATATTTTGGCAGATATTTGTGAAAAACTGCTAATTTTTTAGAGGCCGAGTACAAGTTTTTCCATTAAAACTACTCCCCAAAAGGTACACAATCCGCCTGAAAAGTCCGGGTCGACGAATTAGGCCGTAGTTTTAACCTTTATTAACTGGACTACATTGATCATTTTTTTTTTTCAAAAGATCTAATGAGGTGATGAAGAGACTACTATACATTTTAACTAAATTTAGGAATAACTATATCATACTAAACATAACGTACTTCTCCTTCCTACTTCTCTATAAGAGTATGGCGATTATTCTATCTTGCGCAGCAATACTGGGCTTGTACAGACTGTGACCTATTATTGTCTTTATTTGGCCCACCAAAAGGTTTGGAGATCTTCCTCTAGGACGTTTTAGTAGTCATTAGGTCGCTTAAGCCAGACAGCCAGATAACCGATATGGGTAAATAGGGGTGTGACGTCAATTAGGTAAGAACAGTTAAATACGCTAATCAAGAATAAACAGGTTTGAACCGCTTTGAACAGCTTTTGAACTGCTTTGAACCGCTTTTTAGCTTAAAACAACAGACCTGTTCATTTTTGTTCAAACCTGTTTATTTCTATTTTAAAGCTATTGTTTCTTGTTTAAACCTGTTTAAATTCTTAGCGTATTTTAACCGTTCTTACCTGATTTACATCACACCCCTTTTTACCGTAGCATTTTCATTTTCCAAATGCTACTTTGTTTTATTATAGACAGTATTTTATTATTGTTTCTACAACACTTAAATTTCGGAACGCTCTCTATCGAAAATATTAGATCGTACCCTGGTGTATCGACAAGACGGGAAACGTCAAAATCGCCACCTCGGATTTGGCCGTTACCAAGGTCACTGTGCCATTTTGAGAATTAAATTTATTTGGCTGGTATTTTTCACAATATGGGAAAAATATTGTGATTTTGTTGTCCCATAGATGGATGGAGATCCCATATAGCTTTTGATTATTGAGATTTTAGTGGATCTATAGTTTTGGTAAGATTTTCCTTGACATTCCATTCGGTAGAAAAAACCTTCACATGCCTTTCTTTTAGATTCCAGTTTTTTTGATGAGAAGTGTCCAGCCCTTATTTGAGAAGAAATGTTAAATAATTATTGATTGTGTGCCTTCACAATGAGGTAAATTAATACCTTCGTAAATTTTTCGAGTTTTTTAAAATGTAAGGTTAACTAATACCGTGCATTTCTTTTTAGGTTTTTCTACAGATTTTTCTACGTATTTTTCTCAACGTTTTTCTTTGGATTTTCCTTCAAGTATTTCTAGACATTTTTCTAGACGTTTTTCTGCAAGTTGTTCTGCATATTTTTCTAGAAGTTTGTGCCAAGTTTTTCCACAAGTTTTCTTACGTGTTCAGTCACCGAAGTAATCAGTAGCAGCCTGTTCGGTGAAATTTCAGCCCTGCACCCCTCTGAGAAGAAGTTGGATGCTGTGATGTTCTTTTTATCATTAAGAAGATCTTTTTTTAGTATAATTTGGTATACAAGGCCAGTATATTTTTTATAGTAAACTAAAATTTTATTAATTTGATTTTAAATAATCATTAGTGTGTTAAGAAATTAACTATTCTTAACATTTTACATTTAACTGGTTAAGTACTTGCCTTCAGCATTACTTTAACCCTTAATTTATAAAATTTAACATTCTGTTACATTTTATATATTTTTTTAACGCTTAAGTATTTGCCTTCAACATTGCTTAAATTTTACTTGTATTTGATTATTAAAATAATCATGTTATATTGATTGATTATTCAGATTTAACATCTATTTATGTTCTACCTTTTATATCATTACGATCTTTGACCTGTAAGGGCAATCTTGGGTACATATTTTAATCTTTTTCCCTTTAACTATATATAAACAAAAAAGTTCATGAATCTTCGTAATAAGTCAAGTGAAATTTAAATATTTATTATTCGAATATAACCAAGACCGTCTCTAAAAAGTATTCCTTTTATATTATAATTGTTTGAATAATATTTGAAAAGATATAATTTGATTTTAAACAAGTTTTAAGATAGAGTTTCTTAAATATAATTCTTGTATATTAATGTACATAACTGCTGTGCCGAATAGGTACCGAATATTTCTAACAAGTAATAAATCTTATTTTTTTGGGTATTTGAATTGTTTCATTGGTTGATCCAGTTTCTCAAAATATTTAATAGCTGTACTAATTTTAGTTTCCATTCAATTAATACACTTGTACAACTTTTCTTATTTCAGTTTGTACTATCCTTTGTAAAGTATCAACATCTTTTTGAAATAAGTGGCGCCCTTTGGTATGCAGTGTAAGGTATAGGTGGGTATCATATTTTTAGTCAAGTGTAGAAGCAAAAGCTTCTTCCCACTGCCTCCGATATAAGAGTAGCCGTTCGCAATATTTTGACTTAAATTTTCAATAAAAGGAAAGTTTGTGTCACATTACCTATATCGGTTACCTTGCTGTCTGTCTGGCCAAAACGACTTAATGACTGTTCATTTTCCGTTCACTTTTTCTCCCACAATTAGTTTTTCTAGACCATTGGTTTTCCTGGATTGTGGCCAAAATATGTTAAATATGATTGGTTTATAGATGTTGACAGTCTTGATTCGATGTTAAGTTTTTCAGGCAATGAAATATCACGGTAAGGTCTTTACGGTATTCGCAATATTTGTCTATAACATCACATTTCAAAGGCGTCCATTTTACATCATCGTATTGCCAACTTCAACGTCTGAGGCATAAATGGTAATGGAGAAAATTAGGGCTCCTAGGTGTCTTGGTTTGTTACTAAGTGAAACTACTGAATCTTCTTCTTACGACGCCGTCTCCTTTCGAAGGTTGGCGATTCAAATAGCTAACGTCATTCTAGATACAGCCATACGAAATATGTCGATTGATGAGCAACCAAACCATCTACGAATGTCCTTTAGCCAGGAATTCTGGCGTTTGCCGATAGATCTTTTGTCCTGGACTTTGCCTTCAATTATTAATCTGAGAAGTTCATACTTTTTACCCCTCATTATGTGGCCTATGTAGCGTGTTTTTCTTTCTTTAATGGTAAGCATGAGTTCTTTCTGTTTTCTCATTCGATTAAGAACCTCCACATTTGAAACTCTTTGGACTCATGATATTCTTAATATACGGCGGTAAATATACATTTCGAAGGCATCTAGTTTTTTTTCTAACGATATGTCAAGAGTCCAACTCTCACACCCGTACAGGAGAACTGAAAAAATGTAGCATCTGACCATGCGTACCCGTAGCTCCAAACTCAAATCTGACCTTGTGAAAAATTGTCTCATATTTATAAATGTTTTTCTAGCCTGTTCTATGCGGCTTCTAATTTCTTTCTTCGGGTCGCATTGATCATTTACAATACACCCCAAATACTTGTATGAAGACACTTGCTCTACTGGGTCACCGTTGATATCCAGGTGAATCTGCACAGGTGTTTTGGTGAATGCAAGAACCTTCGTTTTTGTGGTATTTATGAGGAGACCGCAGTTTTCACTATGCCGAACTAATTCATTCATTAGCCTCTGCAAATCTTGTTCATTCTCGGCCAGCACAACTGTATCGTCGGCATACCTGATATTATTGATCACTTTCCCGTTAATCTTAATTCCACATTCGATTCCTTCTAGAGCTTCTTTGAAGATAGCCTCTGAATATATATTAAATAAGAGCGGTGACAGCACACAGCCCTGTCTTACACCTCGTTTAATCGTGATTTCTTCTGACGATGTTCCTTCAATTTTAACCACTGCGTTTTGCTGCCAGTAGAGATTTGTAATCAATCGAATTTCTTCTCTATCTATTCCGGTTGTTTTGAGGACTTCTATAAGTTTTTGATGGTTAACGCAGTCAAAGGCTTTTCTATAATCTATAAAACAAGCGATTACATTGACATTCATGTCTCTGCAACGCTGAGTGATAACGTTTAATCCGAATAACGCCTCACCAGTACCTAGGCCACTGGGTGCTATATACAGTCCTTTTGATTCTGGAACCTTCTTTGTTTCAGATCAAAGAGCCGAGGTATATGAATGAACTTCAAAACCTGCTTTTTCTGTACCTATTGTTCGTCAGTTTCTGATTGATATTCATTAACTTTACTTTCTTTTATACAGTTTTAACCCAAATCTCTTACTGACTACCTCCAACTGATGCATAATGAATTTTATTGCAACCGTACGCGAATAAAATAACATACATAACGCATTTAAACATAACATAATTTTTAAACATAATCATTATTTTTTTTATAATTATTCCCAATTATAATGCATCATTTGATATTAATACTCTAATGACATATTGATAAATGCTATTGTAAATAACAGACTCATCAAGTGTTAACATTCGAGATTTGTCGGGAAATGAGCCATTGAAATTACTGCCTTATTGTAAAATATCTTCGCACTTCTAATTAATAGGTATTCTATCATAAAATGTTAAATACTTCCGGCTTCTCGACTTACACAAATGTCATTAATCTTACAGTCGTTCTATGGTATGTATATACTTTTAATATAATTACTTTAATTTTCATACCGTTTTTTATTAACTTGATTACTGTATTAGTAGACCGGATTACACATGACCAGATATTTTATAAAAGCATACTAAATATTGTTACGGGATTTATATTCTCATAGATTTCTTTCTTAATTTTATTTATTTTGGGCTCAATATTGTAATTTTAGAGACAATTCTTGAATTTAATTGATTGTTTTATCAAACCTGGAACATTCGCCATTTCTTTAAAATCTAAAAACAATTTGGTAAATAATATAATTTCTAGGCTAAAATATGTTTATTTACTGTTGCATTACACTTTTTCTTTTAACAACATAAAAAAGGATCTAATTTCACTGTAAATTCCTCTGTTTCGTACTGCTTTATAGTTCTTAGAAGCTAAATACGATGCCTTCTATTTCAACAAGTTAATTTGGTTTATATTCTCATATTTTACACTGATTCCTTGGAATGTACCATTATTATAAAAATGCTATAGTTTTTCTCATTATTATAGTATGGATTTCACTCTATTTTGAATCGAACAAGTGTTGATATCAGTGTAGCAGATTCAATTCTTGAACATCATAAACTAAAAGCAAATAAAACGTTTAGTAATTATTAATAGGTACTTTTAAATATATTAGTTTCGATGTGTGGCTGATATTTAGTCTCTTAAAGGCTTGCAAGATCGTAATTTTATTAAAGTTAGCTTGAGTAATGTTTTGACAGCGATGTGTTTACAGCGGAACAATATTTGAGGTTATTTTGTAATTTCTTATTCTGCGGCAACGTAAATATCGAGCATATTAGCATTAGTTACCGAATTAGGGTTTGATTGACAGTTATATATATGACATTTATATATGATGGTGACTTTTTGATTGTTTATATTGTATATTGGTTGCGTAATATTATTTTCTGTAGTACTTTCGATTTCATTCTTCGATTTCTGTTTACTTTGAATACTTTCGATTTATTGGTTTTTTATATTTAACGTATATCATGTTTTGCTCTTAGGGAGTATGTTATTTGGTTTATTTGAAACATTGATTTGCTGTGTCTTTTTTACTGCCCTTTTTGTCCGGTGTTCATCCATGATTCTTTCTTCTAGAATGATCCGTCTTGGTGTGTAGACACGTTTTGGGATAAGGCCTTGCGCTGATTTAAGTTCTAGCAAATTCGGTTAAATAATTTATTAGTGAATAGTTTTGCCGTTTTGCACTATTCAAGTGGAGTTTTCCGATTTTTATAATTATTTTAACCGTACGAATTTGAAGAAAAGAGTTAATGAATGGCCACATGACATCTCAGGTATGTTTCACGCCATTTTGTAGTTTTCTTGAAGGTAATTTTGAACTTCTTTTTCAGGCCATTTACCTTGCATTTAACTTGCATTTACTTTAATTCCTATTTATTTCATTTTGGATTTTGGTTTTGACCATTTTGTAACATTTGGTTACGTTTTATTTGGTATGCTGCCGTTTTCTTGCCAGCCAGTATCCAGTTTCTTCACCATGTGGTTCTGAGCTAACCATCACCTCATCACCTAGCTCATTTGATCCAGACGACTTTCTGAGACCGACCAGACCGACCACTATGGGGTATTGAAGCCAGCTCACCGTCCGCCGTTTTGAAAATCAGTCAAAAAGCAACCATCCGAGTCACTGACCACCGAGATTCTGGAATGTCCTGATAAGTACCCATTTAATTTAATTTTACTGTTTTGATTACTACAGTCGAACGGTTGTATTAATCGTTTATTGAGTTTAATTATGTTTGCGTATTTAAGATAGTTGTAGTTTAACTTAGATTTTTTACTTGCGGCTCGATCTGTGAACTTACTAGTACGTATCGCGAGTACGTATTTCCGTTTGTAATTTATAGCGTTTGTTATATAACTA